GTATAAAGTTTTTGAGCTTCCTCTATGTTGTAATATGTGACACGATTTCCTTCTCTCCCTCTCTTGTTCTTATCCTCTTTCTCACTTACTTGCTCTCGTTCTCTCACTGTAGGACTGAAGGGTACAATACTTACTCAAAACACTACAATGTACTAAAATGTTCCTAACAACATTCCTAAAATTTCCAGATTCACTGAAAATATATAAAGATACAACAAGATGATACAACATTTCCCTGTCAAATTTCCCTGTCAATAAGAAAGACGAACAAGAAACAACAGATGATAACTTAGCCAACTGTGGTACACCTGCATTATAAATGTGGCCAGTTGTTCAGTCTGCAATAAATCTTCACTGTCTTATGGCATAATCTTGATAGTTCCACAGTTTTGGGTTTATCACTTGCAGTACATTGATTTTAGGGATCAAAGTTTGAATGGTTTGGTCACAACTGGAAAAAACTCAATCCTTAGGATTAGGGCACTCAGGGAGAATTTTGAGGGCTGAGAATTCTGTGAAGTTTCCTCAAGCAAAATACAGGCGTCCAGGCTGACTAACACTCAAAGGGTTCCAGGCCTTTCCCTGGGGTCGCTAACTTCTACTTCCCTCTGCTCACTGGCTGTGTTCTCTGAAGTAAAAGAGTTTTCCATCCTTTGAGGGGGAAATACTTCCAGCCATAGATTTGATATTAATACGTCACAAATGAATGCTGCCATCAAAGAGAAACTGACTGACTCTAAGCTTTGTTTTAAAAAGTAGAGGGAAGGAGTCTGATGTGACTGGCTTAGGTAAGCTGACTCTCCCTGCGGAAGATCCCTGCACCCAGCAGAGACATGCTCACCTTGACCTGGTGCCTGCCTAGAATCATGTAACTATTATCAGGAAGTGGCTCATGGGTAAGGTTAACATAGCATCATTTTCCGTCTGAGATACTCTGGAAAATGAAAGGGTACATACTGTTAACGGTTACAGTAGGATAACAGATATATCTAATGAACTATGCTGATGGTGTTGGAGGAAGGATCTAAGACCTTGGAACAACATGGGGCATCCTTCATCTCACCCTCAACCAATTAGAAGAAAAACCATGTACCGAATTTCCCTGTCAATCAGAAAACCGCTTTAATACCATTATAAATTTCTGCTAGTTAAATGGAATTCTATAGGCTTGCTTTTGGTCTCTTATGATGCTATTTAATGTAATTCCAGTGCTAAAAATTAAAAATGCAAACTTCATTATAAACAAAAGGGACAGTTTTTTTTAGTTGACTCTAATTCTTAATGTCTGTGATGATTGTTTCTTTTCTTTTCTTTTTCTTTTCATTTTTGAGACAGAATCTCTCTCTGTCTCCTCCACTGGAGTGCAATGATGCGATCTTGGCTCACTGCAACCTCCACCTCCTGGGTTCAAGCAATTCTCCTGCCTCAGCCTCCCAAGTAGCTGGGATTATGGGCACCTGCCACCATGCCTGGCTAATTTTGTATTTTTAGTAGAGATGAGATTTCACCATGCTGGTCAGGCTGATCTCAAACTCTTGACTTCAGGTGATCTGCCTGCCTTGGCCTCCCAAAGTGCTGGGATTACAGATGTGAGCCACTGCGCCCAGCTGACTTTTTTTTTTTTTAAGCTTTCCTCCCCAGATGTTAACATTTTGTTTAGTTTTATTTTGAGACAGGGTCATGGTATTTTGACCAGGCTGGTCTCAAGCTCTTGGCCTCATGGGATCCTCCTGTCTTGGCCTCCCAGTGTGCTGGGATTACAGGTGTGAGCCACCACACCCGGCCTCCAGGTCTATTTATGTCATGTTTTATCCACTGGGACTGAGCTACTTAGATTGCATTGCATTTGTTCAACAAGCACATTGAATAGTAGCTATGGGGCAATGATAATACCCATGCCTGGATTCAAAATAAAAATAGCTTTTCTTTCTATTACCACTTGCATAGTCAACCAACCAAGAGCAAAGTCTGAAGAAGAGCCGCTGAAGTGGCATAGTTCCCTGGTTGTACCAGCTAACCACAGAAAGATCAGCGATTGTTCCTCATGAGTCAGGCTACCACTGCCATCGTTTGCATGATCACTGAAGTTCCATATCTACCTTTGTGGCAGACCACAGATTGCCTTTTGGCAGAGGAACTAATTTTACATAGTTGAAAACATGGCGATGGGCTCACACCATGGAATTCACCAGCACTGCCCCATCATCAGGAAGCAGGCAGCGTGACAGAAAGGGGGAATGGCGAGCCAAAGGCTGGGGCGCATCCCGCAGTGATGCTTGGATGATGTACATGATAGAGTAGATGCTTTAAACTAGAGGCCAATACATGGTGGCATTTCCCCTGAGTCAGACTACCTAAATTTAGAAAGCAATGTAGAGTGTGGGCTGGCCTCTCTCAATATTACACTTATTGATCCATCAATAGAGAACAAGTGTCTCAATATTGATCCATGTGTAGAGAACCAGACACAGTACTGGTCAGAGGGCTGGATGCTGACTGCCAAAGGGAAATAGTGGTGTCGTACAATGGAAACGAGGGAGTCTAAGCCTGGGGCCAGGAGACTGACTGTTCCACTAAACACTTAGTACTTGGTGGTTTATTCTTATTTTATTTATTTATTTATTTAAATTCATTTATTTATTTTTTTGAGATGGCGTCTAGCTCTGTTGCCCAGGATGGAGTGCAGTGGCATGATCTTGGTTCACTGCAACCTCCACTCCAGGGCTCAAACCATTCTCTCATCTCACCTTCCAGAGAAGCTGGGGCTACAGGCACGTGCCACCACGTCCTGCTAACTTTTGTAATTTTGGTAGAGATCAGTTTTTGCTATGTTGCTCAGGCTGGTATGTATGTATGTATGTATGATGTATGTATGTATGTATGTATGTATTTGAGACAGTCTCGCTCTGTCTCTCAGATTGAGTGCAGTGGTGCAATCTCAGCTCACTGCAACCTCCCTTTCCCAGGTTCCAACAATCCTCCCACCTTGGCCTCCTGAGTAGCTGGGACCACAGGCTTGTGCCCAGCTAATTTTTGTATTTTCGTAGAGACTGAGGTCTTCCTGTGTTGCCCAGGCTGATTTCAAATTCCTGAGCTCAAGTGATCTCCCTGCCTCGGCCTCCCAAACTGCTGGGATCACAGGTGTCAGCCACTTCACCCAGCCAAAAACACTAACTTTCCAGCTAAGAAAATGTGTATGTTTTACAAAAATATGATGTTCTTAACACATTACTTTTAAGCTGTTTCTTTCAGAGAAACAATAGAGTTAACAGATAGCACCCCAAATAGTAAATTATAAACTGCATTAACGAGCTATCTGCCATCAGCATTAAGTGGAACATAAATTGTTTTTCTTTTTTTTGCATGAAGTTAACTAGTTCCCTTTGGGATCAACTCAAAATTTTGCCTCTGCTAATAGACTTAACTCACTGAAGCCTCTACTCTCGATTTATAATGACTGGAAAATAATTTTACCCTCCATTTCAATCCCCTAAATGTGATATAAAGTTGGGATAAATAAGGGAAGGCATAAAGAGAATGTGGACAACTTCTATACTAAAATTAATCATGTAAAATCAGGGAACAGGTTGTGCATGTTAATAGCTATAGCTGTCCCATTCTTTTTAACAGAACTTCCATGGAGCTGAGGAGCACACTGCCAAGAAAAGATGATGAGCTCCAGGGGCTGACCAGCGGCTGTGCTTCCCATGAGCCTCCTTTAGAGGTGAAGATTTGATAGTTTCACCCTTTCCAGGAAAATTCACTTATCAGGTGCCAGCACTGACTGTGGATGTACAGGTTTCCTACATCCAAAGACTGGGCAAGTACGTCAGCTGCTCTCCTCTCCCTAAACTCACTCCCTTCCCTGTCACAGAACTGAGATTCACACACTCTCTCTCTCTGTCTTTCTGTTTCTCTCTGTGTGTCTCCCACTCTCTTCTGTTTCTCTCTCTCCACCCCTACTACCTTGTTGCTGTGTCATGTGGCCTGCTGGCTCAGTAATTCTGTCTGTGCAGACAGGAGAGAAAGCTAAGTAGAGAGTTAGAGCAAGATCTAGAAGAATCCTTTACATAGATGCCAATAAGAAAGTGACCCCCAGACAGGAAATTTTAAAGCAGAAAAAAGAGAAAGCACTGGAAATATGAGAGCGTGGAGAAAGGAAAGGTGTAGGGTACAGGGAGTTTCACTGAGTCTGTGTGACCCCCAGGCTCTGTGTTTTACATGTTATATTCCCCTGTGTCTAAAAATGTTCTCCTAAGCATCGGTTTTGTTTTGTTTTTGCTTAATGTTGTGTCGTTTTGTTCGTCGCAGCTGACATTTGATAATGTGTGTTGTGTAAGACAGTCTGCACTTTGTACAACTAACCCACATCTTCCATTTCAGCACAGGCTGGTATGTTTCACTCAGATTTTGTGGAGTACAGGAAGCGTATCGCTGTAGATATACATGTATGAGTCATAAGCCCATGAAAGCAGTTTCACACTGTGCTTAAAATGGTCAAAAAGCTTGGTTTTGGGACCAATATGTTATCTTCTCTAAGACCACTACTAGACATTTGGACTCTCAAACGTTTAGAGGATTAACCATATTATTTTTACTAATATTGAGGGAGTTAAAATAGTCTAAGCAATTAAATTAGGTGTATTATTCCGATATGAGATGATAATTTATACTCCTTAGGAATCAGAAAGGAAAAAAAATCAACCCCTTTTCTCACTAAATGGAAACTAGTATCATTTCTGACTTTTAATGTAGTAGGAGAAGAATGGAATGATTTTCAACCTGCACATTTTCTGCTCATGATGTTAGAAAAGTCATTTTCTTTGATAGGACCTGTAGCTCTTTTTTAAGAAATGGATAATAGCATTTGATTAGTCAAATATAGAGGAGTGCTCTGTAGTACATGCGATATAATGGTGAAATTTTCACCTTTAAACAAAAAGTTCTTTTGTAATTTATCAAAAATAAGTAACCATATGATGAGAACTATGATTTGAAGTTGTTCTTCATGTCCACTGAAATTTCACAAATAATTTTTATTCCAATTTAAGATACATTTATCATCAGCATTAAAGTTGCTGTGAAAGAGAATTGATTTGACCTCAGAATTTTTATATAAGACCATTTTTATTTTCTCCTTGCTCCCATTTGAACAGGCATATTTCGCTGGCCAAAATGGGACATAAGAATTCCAGCACCGTCACTGAGCTGGTCCTTGTGGGATTTTCCAATCATCCCCAAAGTGAGACACCCCTCTTCTTCCTGTTCTCTCTGGCCTACTTAGCAAATTGTTTCGGAAACACAGCTGTCATCACTTTGGTAGTTCTGCATTCCTCTCTCCAGACACCCATGTATACTTCCTTTGTCACCTGGCCTTTCTCAACATATTTTTTAGCACAATCGTGGTCCCCAAGATGCTCTATAACTTCCTTGCAACCAGGAAAGTCATCTCTTACAACTTCTGCCTCGCTCAGACCTACATCACCTTATTCCTGGAGGTGACTGAGTGCTTTCTTCTTGCAGTGATGGCACTGGACCGCTATGTGGCCATTTGTTTCCCACTGAGATATCTGCTCATCATGAACACGTCTGTGTGTGTGGCACTGGCTCTGGGAGCCTGGACCACAGGCTTTTTTGCTTCGGTGGTTCCTCTGTTCTTCACAATCCTCCCACTCTGTGGTCCTTATGTTGTTGACTATATTTTCTGTGAACTGCCCATCCTTCTTCCCATGTTCTGTGCAGGTACATCCCTGCAGGAGGCCATGATGCTTGCAGGAAGGGCTGGAACAGTGTTACTCCCCTTCCTCCTCATTATTCTCTCCTACCTGCGCATCCTGGTGGCTGTGATGAGAATAGACTCAGTTGAGGGCAGGAAAAAAGCCTTTTCAACCTGCACTTCCCATCTGACTGTGGTGACCATATATTATGGAACAGGATTAATCAGATACATGAGGCCCAAGTCCCTTTACTCAGCAGAGGGAGACAAACTGATCTCCTTGTTCTATGCGGTCATCAACCCTATGCTGAATCCTTTCATTTACAGCCTGAAGAACATGGAAGTGAAGCAGGCTATGGGAAGAGTTATAGGAAAATACAAAAATAAAATTAAATCACATACTAGGATGTGTAGAAGTTAAAGACAAGTTTGTATTTTTAGCATAGTCACATCCAAATTCTATGAAACTAACCTCCATCACAAGAAATTCCACTTAGGCAAACTTGCAGAATAAGGTGGTCATTCAGTTTTTACAAATCCCCCCCAAGTGTTTTCAAGTCAGATTTCTCCTCTCTATGTATACACACTTATTGATAGTCCTTTGTTAAGTGTTAAAATATTGCTATGTCTGGGGCAGGCATGGTGGCTTATGCCTGTAATTCCAGCACTTTGGGAGGCCATGATGGGCAGATCTCCTGAGGTCAGGAGTTCAAGACCAGCCTGGCCAACATGGTGAAACCCCATCTTTACTAAAAATACAAAAAAAATAGCCGGGTGTGGTGGTGGGTGCCTGTAGTCCCAGCTACTCAGGAGGCTGAGGCAAGAGGATCACTTGAACTCGGGAGGCGGAGGTTGTAGTGAGCTGAAATCACGCCACTGTACTCTAGCCTGGGCGACAAGGGCAAGAGTCTGTCTCAAAAATAAATAAATAAATATATATTTATTTATATATATACACATACACACACAATGTGTGTGTGTATGTGTATGTGTGTGGGTGTGTGTGTGTGTGTATATGTGTGTGTGTGTGTGTGTATATATATATATATGTGCTATGTCTGCTCAATCAAGCGTTGTGTTAACATAGCCACAAGCTTCCATGTCATCAATCCTATCATTCCCTGTGGTCACTTTTACAGTATTTTATTTTCATTTTCTATTCATTTTCAAGACCTCAACTTATGATAAGATGCCTATGCCTCCTCCATGAATCAACTCTACCCTGTTGAGACTATCAATCTAAAGATGAGTCTTAGCTTTTTCCAGGACTAAATAAAAAAGCAATGCAAATTATGAAGTGTATGTTATTAAATCATATAGGAGGAAAATATTTTTGAAGTTGGTAATGAAAAAATTTTTAGGAGTGTAGAACACTTTATCTAATTTATCTAAACTTTTGTCTAAGTTTTGGATAATTTAAGGAAAATGATATGCTTTTTTAATTTTAAAATTGAAGCAAGTTCTTCTCAATTGCTTTAGTTTTCATTTACTCCATATGGATGGTAGTTCGCAGAAATAAATATTAATAATTATTTTAGGTATTTACTTTTTTATGTATTTAAATAGATTGATTACAACATATTTACCACTGTGGCATTTCAGGCAACTATGTAGTAATTAATTTAATATTCCTGAATTTGGAGGCAGGCTGCAGAGATTTTTCCAGGTTCAACCACTTAGCTGCTTTATGTCCATTATTTTATCAAATAATCTCTCTGAGCATCAATTTCCTAGTTTAAAAATCAGTAAATTCAATATATAGGTTGTTGTCAAGATTAACACATAAATAATACACCTAAAACATAGTAAAGGCGTAATCACACAAGGTGCTATCAGTTTCAATCTGCTATTGAGTGAGAACAATTCTATACTGGATTTTACAATTTTATTGAAAAAAGAAATATGTAAATAACTTTTCAGACTGTCTTCAGTAATCACTGCTGGAAGCTGATGCTCCCATGGAAGTGGAAATTTCTCTTTCTAAGGCTAAAGAGTGCCATTGGAATAATTTAGAACTCCTGAGCACATGGCAGATAATGAGGCTCAAAGAACCGAATGTCTTAACTGATGCATGCATACCTGTGTTTAGATGATGCAGCCCTCCCTTTTATGGATGGCCTCTTTTTGTAAAGAAATCTCATGTCAAACTCTCCAAGAATGTGGATTCATTACTCTGTCATAAAATCTTATTGTATTCTGATATACAATGCCATACGAGAAAAAAAGAAGAAGAATCAAATCTTCTGTGGAGTGAGACAGTAAGCACCTAATTTATAATGTTACCTACAATGTCTGTTTCTCCATTGCTACATTCTACAAACGTGCATGTGAATGTTTTTTGTGCGTGTGACCCAAATGGTACATGTTCATTGTGCAATGACCACATCTTAGTGACTTTTGTTGAAAGCGACACTATCTCTGTGATCTAAAGCATTGCCAACTTACAAGCACGATTATCCACTGGCATCATATCTTGCTCTCATAATCATTGCTCCAGCCGGTGAACCAGCCCAAAAAATGGCGTGAAAGGGAAGAGACACTGTGTACAGAATCAGAAGGGCTGAATAAAATCCTTCCTCAAACCAAACTTTGTAAACATTGGGGCCCATTCTACTTAACTCGAATTTGATGACCAGACTACCTTTAGTTTGTAGCACATTGATCACATTGATCATTTTATTGTTCTCATTTATAGTCCACAAATAATGTAAAACTATTGTGTAAGATTGTGGTAGCAGTTAAGTAAATCTAGAGCCAACATATATGCAGTAAAACCACTGTGTTCCTTTCTGTTATTGTTTAAATAACACTGTATTGGGTGAAATAATTTATTTTTATTTTTATTTTCATGTTTTAGAGACAGGGGCTCCCTATGTCGCCCAGGGTGCTCTCAAACTCCTGACCTCAGGTGATCCGCCTGCCTCGGCCTCCCAAAGTGCTAGGATTTCAGGCGTGAGCCACTGTGCCCAGCCAGCCTGAAATGAATTTGAAGTAGCATCAGATAATTAGTTGTGAACTAGGAATCCCAGTTTGGTATAAATCAATAGTTACCAATATTAAGAGTTTTTTTTTTTTTTTTTTTCTCCTAGAGAATCATAACAGGCCTGTATCCCATCCATTTTAATTGAATGCTTAATGCTGAGTTTTTTCTAAATAAAACCCCCAGAGTATAAATGTTGTCTATTTTCTAGCAATCCCCATTGTTTGTTACTTTTCTGGCCTAGTGAAAGAAACTTTAATTTCTTGTATAATAATCTCGGTTAAAACCTTTGGGAAACAACCTGAGTTTGACTAAATTTTCCACTTGATCTAATTAATTCATTCTCACTTTTGGTTAGACCAAATTTCACTCCGCATCAAAAATAAATATTTGACTGACTGCCAATAATATGGGGTCATACAAAACTAAATAATTTTGCAGTCAAGTCTGTCATTGGAAACCATAGGCAAGAGCACAAATGGACAAGAAAGTGCAATTACGGGAAGATGATGTGGAGCGGTCAGTTCCCTAAGGGTTCATTACAAGAAACTTTCTCTTTGAGTAGTGATAGCGTAGTCGTCTCAGAAATCTTAATGAGATCATGGTAGGGAAATAAGTTTCTTAATTTTGGTTCAATACTCTCTCAAACATAAATGAGAACCACTTTTGTTTTAGAGGTTTAAACACAAAGTTGGATCCTTATACACAATCAGTTTGACTATTTGAGAAGAGCTGACTTGTCAAATAAACAAAGTCTCACTAACTTGGTTCTTTCTAGTTTACAGAGGGCAGGCTTGTGGGTGTGAGTGTGTGTGTGTGGGTGGGTGTATAAGATATGGGCTTAAGAATTCTTTGTTGTGTGTTCTAATCAAACATTTAATATATTGCTGAATACTTAGAGGCAACAAAAATTTTGGTCTCTTTCAGCACTGCATTACAAATTAATCTCAGAACCAAATACTAATGTTTACTCCAAAAATTTATTTATATGTATATATCTCTTTTTTCACATATATATGCATATACCTACAATATACAATCCATTATATAATACATATATATTTTATACAAATATAAAATATATGTGTAATATGTGTTACATATGCATATAATATATATTATATATGTATAATATATAACCCCTATATATGGGGTATGTGTGTAATATACATATAAAACCACTATATATAGGGGTTATGTATATTATATATAAAATATATATTATACATATATATTTGTTGTATATTATATATTATACATATATAAAATCCATTTTGATTATATTGTTGTTAATGGTGTAAGATGAGGGTCCAATTTCATTTTTCTGCATGTGGATAGGCAGTTACCCCAATACCATTTATTGAAGAGACTGTTCTTTCTTCAATGTGCCTTTTGGTCACCTTTGTGGAAGAACACATATATCGATTTATTTGCAGAGTATCTAATTTGTTTCATTAAACACCATGTCTGTTTTTACCAGCATGATTCTGTTTTCAGTACTATATCTTTTCTTTTTTTCTTTTTCTTTCCTTTTTTTTTTTTTTTTTGAGACAGAGTCTTGCTCTGTGGCCCAGGCTGGAGTGCACTGGTGCGATCTCTGCTCTCTGCAAGCTCCGTCTCCCAGGTTGAAGCTCCTGGGCTCAAGCAATTCTCCTAAGTCAGTCTTCTGAGAACCTAGGACCACAGGCATGCACTACACCTGGCTAATTAATTATTATTATTATTGTAGAGACAGGGTCTCACCATGTTGGTCAGAGGAGTCTCAAACTTCTGGCCTCAAGTGATCCTCCCACTTTTGCCTCCCAAAGTGCAGGGATTATTGCTGTGAGTCACCACATTTAGCCACATTTTCCACTTTTTTGAACAGTTTGAGAAAAATTGTTGTTAGCCCTCCTTTAAATGTTAGGTAGAATTCAGCAGTGAATTCGTTAAGTCCTGGGCTTTTCTTCGTTCCGAGGTTTTTGATTACCAGTTCAAACACCTTACTAGTTATCAGTTTCTTCAAATTTTCTATGCCTTATATTTTTATTTTTTTAGAGATGAGGTCTCACTCTGTCACCCAGACTGAAGTATAGTGGTGAGATAGTAGCTCACTACAGCCTCAGATTTCTGGGCTCAAGCTATCCTCCCACCTCAGCCTCCCGAGTAGCTGGGACTACAGCTGTGTGTCACCATGCCTGGCTCAGATGTATTTCTTCATGGTTTAGTCTAGTTAGATTGTATGTTTCCTGGAATTTATCCATTTCTTCTATATAATCCAATTTTTTGGCAAATAATTGTTCATCATAGTCTCTTATTTCTTACCTCCTCTTTTATTTTTCCTCGTTTTCCTGACATTACTCTAAATTTCCTTTTGTTTTATTTGATATAAAGTTGCTAATACTTTTCCCTCAGACATATAATGGGACATCTTTCCTCTTGAATGTTATTCTCTCATCAAAATCATTTATCTTATTAAATGTTACAGAATGTAAATAAAGTGTGATCTAAAAGCATCAGCTTTACTCCAACTTAGAATCCCTCTGAAAGGCATATATTCTCAATCAGCAGCACAACCTAAACATTTGTACTGAGGATTGTTATGAAATGCTAAACTTTCTTCCCAAATTTTTACAATGGTAAATCATTCCTACATACTTCCTCTGCCACTTCTAATCTGGGAAATGTTTACACATTCT